TTACTGACCGCTCTTTTTTGACAAAGCTTCTTGTCTATCGTTACTTTTGCAACCTGTCTTTATAATAAAATGTTGAAACTATACTGACTAAAAGTTATGTTTTGGGATGTCCCTCGTTTAAAAATGTATGACTGCCTCACTGGCAGATTAGTAGCAAGTGTGACTGCCGGACAAGAGGTCTCGGGTTCGATTCCCGGGTCAGGCAAAGTATTATAGGGTTTAAAAAAAATCTCAGTAGTAGCACAAAATCAGGAAATGTGCCCGGTATATGACAATAGGCTTACACCCCGTTACATGGGACACATAACTTAAAATAGTTAAAAGTGGGTGTTACATTGTACAGTGGCATTAAGTGCCGTAATGCGCACCTCTGCCTTCCCCTTCGGGGATAAAAGGCGTGAAGTTATGTTATGTGTTAAAAATGTATCGGTCTGGTTCCTGTAGGCTCAGCAAACCAATACCTTTGAGGGCTAGTGCACGAACTGTATGTTCCACAGAGTAAACACGCATGGCGTTGGTTTGTACACAGCTCCATGTATTAGAAATAGTGATTTGAAACTCGATGTAGACTAGTGCTGTTTGGATTACTAGTCAATACACTCACATTGTGTATATGGAATTGTAAAGAAAGATCTGTTAAATAGCTAATTGCCTTAGTGATTGGAAGACAATTCTAATATGGCAGGTCAGGAAAAATCTAATATGATTTTTTTTAATAAAACCATTGCCCCACACTAGTAGAGGTATTTTCTCCAGTATCGTGGGTGCGTTTACAAACATACAAGTTCACATATTCATGACACCCAGACCAGAAACAACATTCTATGGAGATCACACAAAGAGTTGCTCCGTTCGATAATCGAACCCGCGACACGTTACGCGGCAGTCAGTGTCGAGCGAGCGCGCCAACCGTGCAGTCAAATATCTTTATACAAATGATTCTTTCACTTATGAAATTAGCCTCATACATAATAATAAGTCGAAAACATGTTTCCGAATACTGAACCACCTTAAAAAGCTTACAAAAATAACATTCAAATAACAACAGTTTAGCTTACTTGTGGGACTTAGCGCCGTGTCTATAGCCCGCAGCGCTTTTTATTTTCTTTTGCGGAAAATTCCGTATAAAAAGTAATGTGCTTAAAACGCTTTATGAGGTTTTCCTATGTTGGAAAACACCAAATAAACATCACAGAGAGAGCTTTAAAGACATGGTTTCCATGGCAAAATTACATATGTCGAGGCGCTTTTGTGTATGGTTTCACGCCACATACTTAGAGAGCTCCCATAATTTGCATTCAAAAACGATTGACAGATTTTCTTGCCATGGGAACAGGGTCTTAAATGGAATTATTATGTTACTTTTATGCAATCGACCTTCGTTTTTTATCGAAAACAGCCAATTCACCGTTCGAAGCCTCCCGGATGACAGCTATCGTGTTACAAGGGTCGACAAGGCGTTCCATTCAGGAATTACAATTTGTATTAAGTGAAAATGACAACATTTTTTGCTTAGTATAATTTATTCGCTGTCAATTTTCATGTCAAAACATTACTTAATTTGATAGTCTGGTGGTATCTTTTGATCATTTTTATTCGTATAAAACGGATAATCCACGAGGCTTGTGAAAAAACTTGGTCGATCAAGAACAGCCAAGAGTATTAGTAGATCACAGAACAGATTATAACCAAAATTATCAATCTATAACTCAATTAAGTACTATAACTCGACGATAATTATTTTTGTAGTGTCATTATATTAACAATTTCCATCGTCAACAGCTGTAGGGCTCGTCTCGCGGAGGAAACTTTAAATTTAATCAATCACTTTGTATCTGCGCGGTATTTTCCATAATCCATCTAATATTGTTCGTTTTACAAGTTTATTATATTTTGTGAGCCCAGGTGGTTGCCACCAATCAATTGACCTTCGATATAATTTGATCCGTTTGTTTATATTACCACGTAATGATGGAAAAATTGTTTGCAAACTTCTTTTTTTAGCTTGCTTTTCTAATATACTTTCTCGAACGAACTGAAGCTACAATTTGATTGGTATATTTAGGAATGGTGCTTAACTGTTACATAGTTCACTTATAAAACAGTACTAACTTAGCATAACTTCGAAATTACGGAAAAATAGGGTAAGTTCGTTTGTTCCCGTCCACCCATTTTACAGATTGCCACGAGCGTAAGATACATAACACATGAAAAGGTCTAACAGATGTATACTAAACACTAATTACTATATTGTGATAGTGTTCTTATTTTCGGAAATTGGGTGGTGGGTGGACACGAACAGACAAAGTAACCCTAGTTAGGTATAAGCCAAGTGAAGAAAGAACCTTACACTACTTTGTATTTATGAATATTACATGAACAAAGTATAAAGCTAAGGAGAAAAACTACACATAAAGGCCAGAATTACTGATGACAGGTAGTTAAAATAATTCAACTTGAAGTGCTAATATAGGGGAGTGGAGTACGAAGCTCGGTGCTGATTGACCAGCTTTGCATATTAATGGGTCGTTGAACGCGAAGTGTTCAATACGAACTATTGTTCTGAGACCATTAGGGACAGTGATACTCTGTGCTAACGTGGCGAGAACTACTGCTATCAAATATTGGCTTTTGGTGTTCAGAAATGGGTTTTACTTTTTTATATAACTCTTAATTTCCACACATTTAGGCAGGTTTGATATTTTTGGGGGAAAACATCATGGAGAAAATTATATTGATTTATAAATACCAATCCACCTAGGATAAACAAAATAATGAATATCATTTTCTCATTGTCTACGTCGGAAGAAGTTTTAGCTTTTCCACTGCACTGAGATATTTTACAAACTGACATAGGTACATAATAATTTAATTCATCCCTTAATACTTAAATTCAGTATTAGCACAAAGACATAATCGAATTTTCTTAAATAAATTACAATTCATCATTTTAGAGTACCTACCTCTATAATATCTATAACCAGAATGGTATGTATGAATCGTAGCAATTGGCGTTCTATAGCCTCTGCCTACCGCCATGGGAGATATACATGAGGTTATGTATGTATGTACTTATGTATGAATGTATGTATCCAGGACCAAAAGTATTACGTAATGTCTGACATGACTAACGTTCAAACTTCAGTCTAATACCAGCCATTCATTGAGCACTAATTAGTCTGAGCTTTGAGACTTCGTGATCCAGAGTTATATAGATACTATTATATAGTTTTGTATAGACTATGCTACTGATATGTGGCGACGCATGCCACATGTCAACGGATGACGTCACAAGAATCCTACATCGCACATGCAAAGTTTACAAGCGAATAAACACGGATAGAAAATCCCAACGAACAACTGTTGGGCAGAAAGCCCGCCAGGCACGATCACCTCGCCTGGTCGGAGGATCCTCCTTTTCCGATCTTGGGGAACTATACCCTCTGTTCCCTAAAGATAAATGAGTTAGGAATTATGAACATATAGACCAAAGAGCTGAAAAGAACTGTTGTAGATAGTTCTATTAACGTATGACATAACTAACCACTCTAGCGCGGTTTCACCATCTCTGCTCGGCTCCTATTGATAAATGGACTATCCAACATAAAAATAATTATTCAATTCGAACCAGTAGTTTCGGAGATTAGTGCATTCAAACAAACAAATAATAATAATATCGCAATTAAAAATGTTTTATCTACTTTATCGTTTGTCAGTGGTGTATATATAACTCGTAAAAAGTTACATTGGTTCTTGCCGTTGCTAGGTTTCTAACGCGCACTCTTATGCATTAGAATCGGGTGTCATAAACCTCCGGGCTACCACGACATTGGTAGTTTACTTTCGCCATATACTAGCCACCATTCAACAAACAGTAGGTACTCAAGAAATCGATAAACAAATTATACAAATGGTAATGTGTATGAACCCACTTGGTATAATTCCTCATATAATTAAGTTTCTTAACCTTTTATTATTACAAGCATTGATGTGTAATTAGCCTGACCCACTCGACTGCTCCCAAGTCAAGTAACGGACGGGAGGTCTGACACAAGAAAATTATAATTACAATATTCTAGGAAATATCAATTTCCTTTAGAGAAAATTATATAATATATTGTTTTTTCACCAGTTCCGCGAAACTGTTAGATATCTTTATTTATGGCTTCAATTTGTTGAAAGATACAGCTGCTTTCATCCTGTTGGCGATGAATAAAATTATTTATAATTACTTTTTGAAAGTAATCCTACGTAAATTGATGTGCGACCTTGAGAACGATTTGCAGGAGATTTCCCCGGTACTTATGTGTACTTACTGTTTAGGAATAATAATTATGTATTAAAATCATTTTCCGTACTTAGAAGTAAATGTTATAAATCTTCGTTCAACTAGAGCTGTGTTATACATAAAAATATCGTATGTAAAACAATTAGGGTCTACATTTCAACTAATGTATTAAAACCAAGGAAAGGTTATTAATTTAGCTAACTATAAAAAAATATTAAATAATCTCATGATAGCTCAAGGAGTGGGCGGACATTTTTAATTAATTAATAGTAATTTAATTATATAAATACAGATAACTTAGTATAAATATAATTTCGTAACCTTACTTACAATTGCATTGTTTTATTAATGTGTACAACAGTTTGTTAATTACAATTACAATTAGAGGTATGTAGCAAAATGTGAACTTTGGATGTTTCTATCTATAATAACATAAAAGTTAAATTGCACATTCTAAGGAATATAACGTAACTAATTATAAAGAATGAAATTTTCCTACAAATTGTCTGTAAGTAATTTATTAACTTACCATTTAACAATCTTATGGAAAATATAAAAAGAAATTAATATTACTACTATATTTATTCATAAAAACTACCTATCTAAGCAAATTACATTTTGTCACATCAAAATTCACACTTCGTCGTCGATCTTAAAACCTATAACAATTAATAAAGTCCTTATCACACCGTCACTGGCTTACCGTCACTGTCTATATGCAACTCTCGCGCACCTTTCTCGCGGTGGTGACCACCTCTGGCCGTCGCGCAGCCGCGATGTCCGCACTGCGCGCTGTCACGCCACGGTTCACCACGCATATACTTACTGATGACTGTGTAAAAGAGAAAATTAGTTTTAATTGGCATTTTAATATTGGAGTCATCATGTCCGTAGAAGTGATTAAAATGTGTTGGGATTGGAGACCCAATCCCCAAACAGTGACAACGTATTTGTATCTAACTTCTCAGGTGTTGCAGATATTCATGGGCGTTGTTAATACCTTACCATCAGGTGTACTACTTGTTTGTCTCTCATACAATACATATTATGTATATTTCTGACTGATGACTGCCTTGTTGGCCGAGTGGTCGCAAGTGTGACTGCTGGGCAAGGGGTCTCGGGTTCGATTCCCGGGTCGGGCAAAGTATTACTGGGTTTTTAAAAAAAAAATCTCAGTAGTAGCACGGAGTCGCGAACTGTGCCCGGTATATGGCAATAGGCTCACCCCCTATTTAATAGGGCATGTAATAGGGCCTATTACATGGGACTCATAACATAAATAGTGAAAAGTGGGTGTTACATTATACAGTGGTATAATATGCACCTCTGCCTACCCCTTCGGGGATAAAAGGCGTGATGTTATGTAATGTATATTTCTACGTTATTTATGACAATAATTTGACGTTAAATTACTTTACTAAGATCTGTCATTTTTTATGGCATAAGCCGGTAAACAAGCAGACGGATCACCTGATGGTATATAAGCAGTCGGCGTAGCCATGGACACCTGGACCAAGTGCATTACAAGCTTTTTGGGGATTAGGAGTTTGAGGATCGTTGAGGATTCAGGGATTGGAGAGATTGGGGAAGGGGGGGGGGGTAATTGGGCCTCCCGTAATCTCACTCACACAACGCAAGCGTTGCTTCACGTCGGTTTTCTTTAAGGCCGTGGTATTGATTTGTAATCAAAGTATAACAGATCCATACTTTAATTTCATGGACTAAATGCATCTCACACCTTAACATAAAAATAATGTGTATTGTATCTTGTATTTAAAGAATCATAAAGAAATGGCTTCGTAAAAGGTGAACTTTTACACTTTGTAAATGGTGAGAAAATTCTTTATAATTTTAAATTTGCAATTTTCTATAAAAGGCAAGTAGGTAATAATTAACATGCATTACAGGGTTGTCGTCCTGTATTATTCATGGAGAATAATTAACGGAAAACTATTTTTAAAAAGATGTACAAAAGGTTTAAATACCTTTGTATCTAGCAAAAGAAAATCACAGATGTAGTTTTTATTCCTACTTTCATCGCATGTTTTTATGTAAAGTGGTTTCCTGTGTTACATTAACTGTGAAAAAATAGACTTTTTCTGATCGCAAAATAGCGCTGTTACATAACAAAATGGTCAAACTTTACACGGCCTAAAGGCTCTGGTTGAACTTAATAAAATTAATAAACCTCTTAATATTATTACAATAGAAAATTATTAGAAGTCGAGGAAATTTTAGTCACTGAAAAAATGTAAGGCTGCCTTGAAATTATGTTACGGTATAAAATTACTTTATAAAATTTACTTTTTTTTAATTTCATTTGTACAGATAAGGTTTTTAGATATCGAGCTACTGTTAAACGGAGCTAAGCTTTTTTAACGTAATTGTACGTACCTATGTTTTGTACATCGTTTCATTCATTTATTATTCATAACTTGATCAGTTCTTTGGACTTACCGCACTAGCAGGTATGACAGGTCTTTCGCTGAATATCCTGTGCGGGTCTGTGTCCAGCGCAGGAGTAGACAGCTTACTGTATTCTCCTATTGGTTTCTTATCTGTAACAAAATGTCTATACTTTATTCAGAAGCATGCTGTTACTACTGCGGTTTGTAATTGTTCTAAAATACGAAGTAAGATATAAAGAGAATTTAGTGATCAGCTAATGTTGTTTTAGTTATGATAGCATCAGGACAGATTTAAAATTAATTTGGACTAATATAGCCAAAATGGATTCCTTCCAAAAGTAACTCAATAAGATACACAATAATCGAAACTAAATGACATACAGGATAATTTATTTATTTATATATACTTCACTGTACACCACACAATACAAAGGCGGTATTAGGGCTCGTACACGAAAGTGCGAGCTCCCTCTACGCATCGCAAGAACTTGCGAATTCGCACCCCGCATCAAAATCTTATCGACCCAAAGTCTTCCGTAATAAATATATATTTAATAAAAAATATTAAATATTCAGACATTTTCGATTAATACCAAAAAACTAACAAGTTCCCATAAAACAATCTGCTAGGAAAATAGTTAATAACATCACGCCACGACCATGAAGAGGGTCGGTAATACAATAATAACCTTGGCTGACCTTTTCTTAAACCCGTCCACACAAACCTTTATTTATGGCGGCTTTCAAACTATTACATGAAAAAAGGAAGCAACCTAAATTACGTAACATTGTAGTCGGCTGTGGTATGTAATTATTCTTATTTTCAGTATTTCTTCGACGTATGACTAAAATAATTGATCGTGTACGAGCTATAATGCTCATATAGTAGTGTTATATTGAATGCATGTATATAATGCATCGAACTAATTACTTTAATTAATCGTACACAAGTCGTAACAAGGTCGCTATCACATGCTAATGTGTAGCAATCGAGACTAACATAAAAACAAAGGTGTTTATTTTTGTAAAAGACGACAATAAAAACAACAGACACATTTCAACATCCCCAACTAGCTCAAGGCTAAGATGAAGAAGATATTACTAACTAGCTGACCCAGCACACTTCGGACCGCCTAAATTTCTTTTCCTCACCTTTTTAACCTTCAATAGACTTCTACAAACATTTCAAGACCAAAATTAGCCAAATCGGTGCAGCCGTTCTCGAGTTCTAGCGAGACTAACGAACGGAAATTCATTTTTATTTATATAGAAGACTAGCGGACCCACCAGACGTTGTCCTGCATATCCACTTGAATGTATAAACAAAAATTCATTCAAATTAGTTCAGCTGTTTCGGATAAATAACCTAAACATTGACTGCAGCGCCATCTGCCGGACTGATTTGTGAATCTAAACCATTCCCAGATCCCCTTGAACACACACAAAAAAGTTTTTATTTTTCATCGAAATTGGTCCAGTCGTTTGAGAGAAGTTCAGTAATTCTTCTGTGAGTGTGTATACACTCACAGAAGAATTATATAATAAAAAGATTTATATAGGTACTTAGTTATAGTTTAGTGACTAAAATATTTCTCTTACCATAATGGCAGGGTATGATGTCAGGGTCGGTGTCTTCCCCGCTCCCCTCCATCTTCAGCTCGTACTGACTGCAGTAGTCCAGCTTGGGAGATGCGCAGTACGTGTTCAGGTTATCTTGTTTTGATAACGACTCCACGCTCTGCTCCATGTAGAGGGCGTTGCTGTGAAGTGAGATTTAGCTGTAGCATGTTGGGAGTAGCAAAATAAAGAGTGAGAGTTGGTGAGAGAGAGAGTGAATGAATGAAAAAGAGACAAAGAGAAAGGTTGAGAGTAAGCCAAAGAGATTTGCATAAAAGAAAGTCTCTATCGTTTTGTAACTTAATGATTATTTCTAAGCAATAAAATAGAAAATATCAGACTCATTTAAAAGCCCTGTCAGGAAGCCTATAAATTTAAACCTAAAAAGGTCAACAGAACCTTAACCTCAACACAATAACTTCTACAAAAACAAGTACTACTAGAGCCAATCTGAAAAAATGGCATTTTACCTACTATACATAAAAAAAAACAATATACAGAAATAACAACGTTAAACTCACGTCTTTTAGTAACCTATCCTGGTATTACGACAAAGCCTTGAGATCCTCTTTAGATGTCTAATACTCTCATGTATTCATATGTATATTTATATTAGATACGCAATCTTCTTACAGAGATAATCAGGGCTTTAAAAAATAAATATCATTTCCGAGGTTAGCACAGAAAATGTACCACGAGCACGTTTCTTTTGGAGAAAGGAGGTTCGCATGAGGAGGTTAAATGCTAATCAGCTTTGATGTCATTGAACTCTTCACGAGTGAAAGTAATAAAATAATGATGACGGTGCTGTATGTGGATTTGCTTTTATTTTTGTGGCAATTTAAATGATCAATAACCGATCTCTTTAAATTCTAAAAACCTGCCTAAATTCCATTATATCCATATAGAAGCATTGTGTAAGAACTAATATCCCTAACATAATAATATTTTTCTACAAATTTTACTATTTTTAAGAGCACTAGGTTTTTGAAGACAATGTGCCCTTTCAACTTTGTCTTTCCCGCATAACGAGGCATCGTAAAATAACGTTACGACACACACTCAACTATCTCAATGATAATAATAAACAGCTCGTTGTAAACGCCTCATGAGCGAAAGGGCTTAGTTATAAAACTGAAAATATACATTTTTGCATAATATGTAACCTAAAAATTCTTTAAATTACCACTTACATCAGGAAGTTCGATTAGTTTCAAGCGAAAAACGGGGCTCGTAATCGAGAATACACTTCGAAATTATTAAATTTGACGTTTATAAAAGTGCCTAATCAAGGATTATTTGAAATAAATGCTTTGACTTTGATTTTGAATAAATTATAGCGTGTACTTACGTGGAGGGTGGATGTTTGTCCATATCATGTCTCCTGGCTGCGTGTCTTCGGTACAGCGCTGTGATGACTCCACAGACTCCTGTGCACAGTAGTGCTGCCACCGACAGGAGGGACACGAGCATTGGAGACAGAGGGATTGAGGTGCTCACTCCTGCTGGAAAGGAGACTGAGTTAGAACTGCTTGGCACACACAGATTTTTAGTAGGGCTTGTTCAGTTTGACAGCGTGGTTGGGATAGTGACTGAGTTATATCTTTCTATTTAACGTATCGGTTTCAAGACGAAATAACTAATTCGTTTTATTATTCATACATAGACTTTTTAGGTTTGGGTGTCGAGGTAGTTAAGTGAATGTGAAAGTTTTTGAGAACGCCCTTACGACATAGAAAAAAAATTTCTACGATAAGTATTTTTTAAAACAACAAAATTAGTCGTAAACTTTTTTTAATCGGATTTTTCTCTGATGTCAACTAGGATTCTTATATATAAACCTTTTTTCCTTTTAAGCTGTACAGTAACGATATTACACATACGTATAGTTAAACTACAAAATTAACAATTCATTAAGCGAGGCCCATCACACAAGGAACTCCGTCTTGCGAATTAAGCACTAAGTGGTGCCTAAGTGATTTCACTTTGTAATCACATCACTAATTGCTAGTCTCGGCTTATATACACCATAAGTTTCCCCTGGGAGCCATAAGAAGGTCCTAATGAACTGCGCCGAGGGAAATGGCCAGGGGTAGCCACGTGTGGGCTAATGACATCATTCTATCCACGGAGCATGATAATTGTGGATCGTTCAAATAATGGCCAGGTGTGGCTCCACTGTCTTCCAAATGAAATGATAAATATAGCAATGGAGTCTTCTATTATGTTCCCAGATTGTGGACTGTTAGCAGACTATTCGTATAAAGGCGTCCAAAACAAAAAGTAGTGCTGATCTCTTCGCGAGGTCGTTTCGTTTTATTGGCGTATTTTTAGTTTGTATTATTTTTGTTTGTGGCTATTTTACCGTCTTATCCGTGTTACTGGTATCATTGAACATAATAAGTACGAAGTTCATTATTAATTTTTTTGTAACCTATTCTGAATGGAGAAAGCGATATCAATAAACTGTCTGCTTATTATTTGGGGGACGATAAAATCAAATACCACACACATCATCTTTACTAAACGAACAATGTACAAACTTAATATCATCCTAAACATTACAACACTTGGAACGCCTAAATGCACAATAACCATTAGATAGTAAGTATGTGTTACTGAATAATCGTAGCATCTAATTGTTGTTACTTGCAAACTGCCGTGAATAATGCCGCCCCGCCCGCGCCGCTGCACCAATGAATATTGTACCAACAGATTTACAACACACTACTGGTTATTTAACTTAGCATTGTTCCTTAATATTTATTGTATTTTAACCTCACTTTGTTGGTATATGGTTTCGGGAGCAGGCTTTGGAGTGGCTTGGTTTTGTCTGTTAGTAGCTATTTGGATATTGTAATCTATCTTCAATACGTATGATAAAGTCGTAGAAAAGTAAAAACTGTACATTACATATGTTCCTTGGGGCGTGATCTGCAATCAATATTGAAGCCAAACTATATTTTATAGATTTTTGTCTGTTTTTCCATAATACCTATGTATGTCCGGGTTAAACTCAAAAAGAGCTGCATAGATTTAGTTAAAATTTTGCATAAATATTACTAACAGGTCGGGTCGAGAGGAGCTGTGAATATACGGACGAAGTCGCGGGCACAACTAGTTTAGGAATAGCTTAGTTTATGATACCATTTGATGTGCTTACTTTGTTAATATTTAAATGCAAAGCAAAAGTAAAGAAATTACCTTGTTCTGAATTCAAAAACTATTTAGAATTAAAAAGAAATTGTCAACTGAAATAGGTTTTCTTTTTAATTCAAAATTTTGTTCTTATCTTGAACCGTGATCATTTGAAAATCGAACGAAACGATAGACAATTAAATGTATACTCCATAGATAGTCTTATCATATCAGTGGTATACTCTTAGCTAAGATCCAATCACAATTTTTGATTGGTGCATCGTCTCATGGTGCCACAATCATCAGTAGGTTAGAACTAAGAAGTAGTTATGTTACGTAATGATAAAAATGTTTGTTTGTCGATAAGACAGATCACCTGATGGTAAGTGATCAGTGCCAAAGGAATTAAAAGTTCGTTAACTTTCGAGGGGAGGAGATGTGCCTCCGGTAACATCTTATTTACAACATTTTCATTTTAAAAAACGACAAAGTCTATTACAGGTGCTGTCTAAAAGTACCGCTGACCCCGTAACCTAATGCGACCTCTCTCGTCTTGTTTAAATAAAATGCTGTATTTTTGTTAACGCCTCTTATCGCGGAGTCGTCAGTCGCGTTCGCTGTCATTTCTTCAATTCTAATAGAACGAGTTGTCAAGGTCTCCAAGATGTCGACTTTAATTTATTCCTCTGTCTGTTAGCGTAATATTTGTCGACTGCGAAGAGAGAAAGTATATGCCTTTGTATGTACATACAGATAGCAGCAAACCAGGATATTCTAATCTAAAGTCAATTTCTACTTTATTATGCTTTGAGAAAGCTTAAAATCTATTGAACGATTTTAGTTGTTTAGCTGATGATGTAGGATGTCAGTTAAAATTATTATTTAAATGGAAATACTGTAGGTTCCTAGAACAAAGCATAATCACAGAATCAGTTATCTCAGCTGGCGTACCAACCGTGCTCATTTTGTCAATGCCAATACTTAAGTGATGTTTCACTAAAGATGGACGATGATTAAATTTTCACGTTAAGTAGGTTAGTAATAAATTATTCATAAAAGGTGAATATAAAACTACGCGTCCATTACGGCGGTACCGAGTATCAGACAGTACTTATCCTTGTTCGGCTTCTAGTTCGTTAATTTATTCGTCTTGTGATAATGTTAACCAAATATTACTTCTGGAAATTTTGGCTTCGAAAACCTTCGCATATTTATAGACATAACAAAATTTTGTAGCAAAATATGAACGTATCTCTCGTCTTATACGGCTTTATAAGTTAGGGTTTATACCTGCGTTACCGTGTAAGTGGACGTTAGCCTTTACAGCTTATTGTAAAGAAATTATTTTCAGAATTAAGTTACACAAAGTAAAATATTCGGGTGATTCTTTCAACAACGACCCCAGAGGCGTTTTATTAATTTTCTTTTTGATACAACTTTTTGTTTTAAACAATTCAGTAGTAATTTGAAATTGTATGCCTACCGTTTTTCATTTGTGGAATTGCTTTAATTGTGAGACAAGCTTGGTAGCTGGGAGACCTTTAACATCATATAATATCACGCCTTTTATCCTCGAAGGAGTTAGCAAAGGTGTATATTATGCCACTATACAATGTAACACCAACATTTCACTATTTATATTATGAGTCCCATGTAATAGGGGTGAGACTATTCCCATATATCGGGCACAATTCCAGACTCCGTGCTACTACTGTGATTTTTTTTTAAACCCAGTATATATCGATAACTTATTTTTATATTTCTCCATATAGACTTGGTTCCCGATATGACTTATTTTGATATTAATTACAAATATTCTTCAGGATAGTAAAAAGAAAAAAGCTTTCATATTCTTATGATTAGGCCAATAAAATTTAAATAAACACGAGTCTGGCTTGGTAGCTGAAAGATTTCAAAATGAATAATATTGTTAGGTTTCCTGCGTTGTTGTTTTCATTGCCGTGGAACTTTTAATATTTACATTACTTTACTACTTGTTACTCTTGTTAGTAGTAGTTGTTGTACCTAGTACTAGTTGTACTATAATATTATAATATTCCCAGTATTCTCACGAATTATAAAAAACCTTAACCTATAAATAAACGTTAAATAATAATTATAGTAAAATAAGCAAGGCTTCATCAAGGCTTGAGGTTTAAAACATGATACCATGGCCTCACAGAAAACCGACGTGAAACAACGGTTGCGGTGTTTCACGTCATGTGAGTGAGGTTACCGGAGGCCCCATTACCCAATATCTATAATCCCCGAATCCCCAATGATCCTCAAATTCCTAATCCCCAAAAGCCCAGGTGTCCATGGGTAACGCCGATTGCTTACCATCAGGTGACCCGACAGCTCGTTTACCGGCTTATCCCAAAAAAAACTTACCCGTATACTTATCAGGTGGCCTGATGGCCACTGTGTACAGCGTGATCTCCTCACTCCTGCCTTTAGCATTAGCAGCGTATAAGATGAGGGTGTAGCTTGATCTGCTGTCCAGGTCATGCACCTCGAAGGTGGGTGTGTGGTTCGAGGATACATTTGCTCGAACCTGTACCAATGGAGTGAGATTAGTATAATACGGAGGTCCATACGTTTGCACGGTCTACAGATGTACAGCCTTTTAAAAAAAAATGCGTTTATATTTGTAGTTATAATGTGAAAACAGGTGATGTGAATTCCTTGACAGAAATGTTTTTTAATTTGTTATTCTTGTAAAATCTCAACGAATTATTATGTTTTTGGCTTACTCGCGTAACTATTTGACGATAAACTCAACTAATGCTGCTCATGAATATGAGCCTCTAAGCATGGCTTGAAACTAGTCGAGTTCCTCGTTAAACAGTTACGTGAGTAAACTGAAAACATAATCATTAATTTAGTATGTCTCATGAAATAATATAAAAATAAATCTGTAACAAAATTGTCTAGAAGTTTCTCATATAAAAATCTAAGTCTGATAAACCACTTACCATCAAAGAAGGTAGCTCCAGCACCTCCATATAGAAGACCTGTGGTAGACCACCATCGAAACCCTCCAAACATTCCACCAGCAGAGTGTCAGAGCTCTGGTTGACCACAGAACAGTTCTGCAGAGCTGTAGGGTTCCCTGCTGAAACCGGACAGACTTAGGAACATTGACAATGGAAAATAGAATCAAATAATACATGATAGGATTGGTTTTTGGTTTTCCTAGTTTAGTGTCTCTGTTCACCTAACTTTCCTTAATACCCTCAATAATAATCGTACTATTATGATAAATGCAAAAAATTTTGAGTTTGTGTGTATGTCTGTTACATGTCTATGTCGTTTATACCCAAAAGGGTAGGCAGAGGGTGCGCATTACGGCACTTAATGCCACAGCACCATGTAACACCCAATTTTCACTATTTTATGGTATGAGTCCCATGTAATAGGGGGTGAGCCCATTGTCAGATTCCGGGCACATTTCTGAGATCTGAGATTTTTTTTAAAAACCCAGTATACTTTGCCGGATCCGGGAATAAAACCCGAGATCCCTTGCCCGGCAGTCACACTTACGACCACTCGGCCAACGAGGTCAAAACTAAACGGATTGGGATGAAATTTGGAACCGGGGCAGATAATGGACATCAGTTTTTTAACCAACGTTACCATGGGCGAAACCTTTAGCAGAAGCTAGAAATTTTATATGAGCACCTTATTCCAAGGATTCTTATTCTGACTCTAATAAATTAAGGCCTTGACTCTTGTCAAGGTTTTTCCAAAGCCTAAATGTTTTCTGGCAAACCTTGAAAAAACGTGGTTTGAAGCAAATCTAATTGCGCCAGCTCGTTATTTATGTAGACACGCCTAAATAAGACAGTTGCTGTTCGCAGTACACACTCAAACAGTATTATTAGACTTCTATTTTTATCACTGTCTACGAGCAAAATTAAATAAGTGCCTCGTCTCCTTTTTCTTACTGAAACCAAGTAGCAAAGCTTATGGAGACACTATTTAGTTACAGTAAAAGCACATTTTCCTAAGAATTGTACGACAAACTAAGTATGTGGTTTATTAAAAGTAACTTAAAATATAATTTCTCTATAGCGACAGTTCTATGAATAAAATACTGAAGTAATTCGAATTGTGGTACACATGAAGCTATACATAACCAGTTTATTATGATCTCTATTTATATAATCTTTTTTCACAATCAACGGTCAGTTTATACTGGTTTATGATAGGTTGATATGTAACTGTGAGCACAATTTATGACGTGAAACAATGTTATTGTAACGGTTGCACGAAACGTTGCAACTTATTGCATTTATCATCAGGCGGAGTGACAAACATGGTGCAAAGTTACCACAGACAACAAACAACTTTATGACGAGCATTTTATTTTGTCTGCTGTTGTTTGTTATGCATTGAATATATGCCAAATGTTTGTGCATATGTTTATTGTTGGGTTTAACATAAAAAAGTTTTAGTTGGGTAGTCTCTTTTGCAAATTTTTTTCCTTTTTAAGTCTAGCCTGTGTATTATCCTCAGGGATGTACCGTACGACTGCTTCGTTGGCCGATTTGTGACTACCGGGCAAGGGGTCTCGGGTTTGATTCTCGGGTCGGGCAAAGTACTACTGGGTTTTTACAAAAATTCTGACGGTAACCACCACAATGGTTTTAATGCAGAGAGAATTCCAAACTTTCTAGTCTGACGCCGTAAAATACTGAACGGGTTTTGAAATTATCCCATCATTAACAAAAGAAATCTATATCACTCCAGAGTGCCAAGCACGAATTACAATCGCATTCGTAACTTAATAGTATCGAGCGCGTTCGGCGTTCTGATTGGCCGGCTCTAGTGAACCAACCAACCAACCTACCAATCAGAACGACGAACTCGGAACACTCAGTATTGTAATATATTAATTTCTAATTGTGTTGGATAAGACAGGAGAAATACTGATATCCATGAGCTAATAACGTCATCAAGCTACAACTGACATATTATAAACACAGCAAAGATAATGAATTACCTGCAGCAACCAGCTTGTATAAGCATGGAGTCTCCTGTCTCCCCACAGAGTTGGACGCCGAACATAGGACTGTGCCAAAGTCCAGGTCGGTGGTCGGCGTGTAGCGAAGAGTTGAGGTGTTCCCGTAGACCGTATATAGGCTGTATGAATAAACAAAATGGTAAAGATTATTGCTAGAAAACTAAGTACAGTAGGCAATGGGTCACCCAACTCCTTTCTTCACTTTATTAAATTTTCAACTCTATAGTTTAGAGTATAAAGTCAAAAATCTAATGACAACAATTTGTACATCAGGGACATTTGATGGTTGATGTGCTGGGTAAAAGTATAATCTAAAAGAAAACCGGATTTTTAAAACTAAACATACCACCAGGCGAGATAGTGGTCAAACATGAGCCTTTCAAATATAAAAAAAAAATCAATACAAAATTTTGCCTTAGGTATATTGAACACTACAAGTTCAATAATAGTTTGCTATGTGCATCAATAGGTATTGGGTCTTTATGAAACAAATTATTTAGATATAATATCTTAAATTTATTATTATTTTCCTACTTTAAATAACATTAAGTATTTTACTACTGATAGAGGCAAAGATGCATAATTATTACATTAATGTAAAATGTAAAATCAGTGGCTCATGAAATCATTTATGAATTTATTCATAATATAATAGTAATGTGAATTTTCACGTCCAAAATTGGTTATAAGATTTTGGATACACATTTAGGCACTTTATAATGTGACGAATCAAATAAATGTTAGAATTAAACAATTTATGATCTATATGTATATAAAAATGAAACCCGTTTCCCGTTGTCACGCCATAACTTGAGAACGGCTAGACCGATTTGGCTGATCTTTTTTTGTTTTGTTTGTTATTTTCAGAAATGGAAACGGAAGAACACGGGATTGCGCGTATGAAGTCGCGGGCAGAAGCTAGTTAATAATAAACACATTGATTGGCTTCATGCTATATTTGAACGTGTACCTAATAATTAAAAACCACCCACCTAAATGAGGAGCCCACATAATTTCAGGACGTAATATAATTAATAAATCAGACCGTTTAATTTACCGCTCATTATTATAGGTGATACACAATTAAAAATAACCTTTGTTAACCCTCGTTAAAGTCGAAAACAACTTACATTATATCGAAACTTGGCTGAAGATATAAAGATCTTATTTGCAATACATAAAAAAAAAGATAAATTCAAATTCAATCCTTTTAATTTCATTAGTTATATTGCAGCCAGCAGGCAAACGTACTCCAAACTAATTTGTTTTTATTGGATTTTCAATTTTATGCTACCATAAGTATACAGTTGAATATTGAACAAATTTTGTTTGAAAATAGAAGGTTAATCTACACGTTCGAGTACCAAAAGTTACATTACAGGGTGTACACGGAACGCCCGAAACGCTGACGATTAAGGAAAAGAAATAATGTTCACAATTTTAATCCTTTTTGTTTTCATGTTATTTAGAGGTAATTATGCAACATCAGTCTTGAGCATTTGGTTACAACTATTATTACATAAAGGTCCCCTTCACCGGGAGCATTCGCGTATAATGTAACATTACAGATCTGAGCATTACATCAGTGAAGGAGGAGAACCGAGCATTACAATGCGCACCTTGTAATGATACAATGTGTAATATCTTGATACAACTTGTAACATCAATGCGCTCCACTTGCCTCAGGCCTCCGCCCGTTCGCTTCGTCTGACATCTTGCTATGAAATGCTCAAAGTTGAATCAATATGTTACATTATACGCAAATGCTCGTTAGTCAGGGAGGTATTATTGTTGACTGCACGGTTGGTGCGGTGGCTGGGCAACCGGCTGCCGTGCAACGTGTCGCGGGTTCGATTCCCGCACGGAACAACACTTTGTGTGATCCACAAATTGTTGTTCTGGTCTGGGTGTCATTGTGTATGTGAACTTGTATGTTTGTAAACACACCCACGACACAGGAGAAAATCCTAATGTGGGACAAAGTTAAAAATAAAAAAAAATAGTAATGTAATGCTCAAAGTCGAATCTATAATGTTACATTACTTACTTACTGTTACAGAAATATTTAATGTCTTACTTTTATGAAGAAATTATTTTTTACTATCACCTATTGGCGTTTTTCGGGAGGTTTCCTTTTACACCCTGTATATTCCATCGACAACAATTCACATTTATGTACTCAAAGTCAATAATCAAGCTTGCAATTGAAGTTCAAATGTCAAAGTGGACATAGTTCCGTCAAATTCAGAGAACAATGACAAAGCACGAGAACCACTTCAAAGCCGAAGTCTGTAACAAGGACAGTTGCAGTGTGTGAGGCTGATATACAGATGACCCTAATTCACGTTACAGCTCAATCTTCTAATAAAAATGTATTCTAATGTGCCTCAGAATTCGTCTTTCAGTAACAAAGTCTTCAAAATAACGTTAGATAATGTAAAATAGAGTATATTATAATTATACTCTAATTATAAATAGAGTATATAATTATACTTTGTTTACTCTAAAATATATTTAGTGTTTCTAATTTAGTCACACAAGTAACGGCTGAAATAAACGACGGTGACATACATATAAATAAGTAAAACTATATTTTCGTTTAGGCAATACGGTGGTAATTTGTTCTAAAAGACAAACGAGTTGGCGCGTAACGTGTGACGTCACAGTACACAATGCGCGACAATTCCCACAAATCCGGGCGCAGCGTGCGTTTATACAAAGTGTATTGACTTGCTCGACCCGCGTCAAACGCATCAACAGAAAAGGCGTAGCGCTGAACTGCAAGCGCTTAGCCAGTGCACTAATTACAGTTCCGAATATGGACGTATTTAGTGACCAAAATTCAACCCAAAGCCTGGCGATCTGACCCGTTAGCAGGCTTAAAACTTGAGCTTCGCTGAGCCGATTTTCATTACAGTTTTATTCAGCAAAAGTACTTTATTTTTCAAGCCTTGTTTTAAGTTTCGGCAGAAATAAAGCGATGTAAGCGTAACTGCGGCCCACAGAGGCGTGATCTATTCGGAAAGTAACAAGAACTAAGTTTGTTTAGAACCTCAGCTTCCCAGAAATCAATATTTTCAACGTTAAGTAGTTTATTCTATGGCACTCTGAGATGTTGATTCTGTTCTAATAATTATATTTGCGAGACTAGTTTCAGATTTTCAAACTAAATTCAATTACACGCTTAAGTTCGAACGTTTCAAGGAATACTTAGAATAGTTATTTTCCATTTGCTTTTTCGTTGATTTGTCGAATGGTCGCAAGTTTAACTGTAAACTGGAAATTTACTTATTCCAATTGAAGTTTTCTTAGAGAATGCCAGACTTGATAAATGTAATGAATGTTTATTATTTGTTTGTCATTGACCGACTTAACTTTATTTAAGATCATACTATGTGAAGCTGGGTGTAGTATGCTGACATTTTAACAACTCACTTACATATATGTGAAAATTAATTTTCATTAAAAAAAATCCAATTGACTTAATAGCGACACACAATGAAGTTTTACATAAAATCTTACATCGTGCATGTGAAGTTGGCGCGCTATTAAACAATACGTAGATAGAAAATCCCAACGACTACTTTTGAGCAGTAGGCCGCCAGGCACATTCACCTCATCTAGAGGTAGTCAGAGGAGCCGCCTTCTCCGATGTAAGGGAACTTTATTCTCTGTTCCAAAATCTACATGAGCTCTACCGGACAACCTTCGATTAACATATTCGAACAATTTTCAAAACTAAACAAAGCATAACTTTTCACTATCAGATGTACCAGCAATGTATGTGCTGTTACATCAATGATAAACAAACCACACACCTACCTATTTACATACGAGCAAATAATTGCCCTGAATTACAAATAAAAGCTTTGTAAAAAATATACGCCACATTGAAACCGTCAGTTATAAAACCGCAACATTTGTATGCAGATTGAATTAATAATAGTACGAGTAAAAATTTAATAATTTGACATAGGAGTGAATGTCAATCTCCATACAGATTACTTTTGTAAAAACAATGGAATATGTTTTGTGTCGGTTTTAATTAGTAGGTATAGAACGATATTGTTTTTGCATAGTGTTATTTCTAACTGTCAATATGGGACTGTGGAAGTTTTTCGAGACAGAAGTTAATTTTGTAACCATTCGTTTCGTCTATTTTACGTTTACCTGTCCTATATCCTATAAGCATTAATTAGACACAACTGTAGAGTTCGTGTTACTACTGGCAATATTGTAGTCGATCCAGGAATCAAAATAAGACCGATAACTTAACGATCTGACCAATCAACGAAAGTAAAGTGAAATAAATTAATAAATTACAGATTTTTAAAGTCTTGCCAAGGATACACGAGGGGCAAGGGTCCTGCTACACGTGTCGCCAGCGACGTTGGGTGAAGTAGCGCGATGTTGCCGGACTATGGTCGACATGCCTGGCAATATCAACGTCGCTGTAGACATAATTATTATGTATACAAAAACTCTCGTGTGTAAAGAGGAAAGCAGGCTATTGTTATATGCGTGTAAGGCACGCGTTGTCACCTTATCTAATATGTCGGGCGAAATCGGCAGGCTTCGCTTGACATATCACCGATACATGTCGTGGGATCTTTGTCCCTTAGTGTATCCTTGGCTTAAAGACAAATACACTAAGCTATCGTTACTTTCAAGTAAAGAAAAGAAGATCACAGAAGCTTGACTCACCTCGGAGATATCTCAGTTTGTTCCCCAGAACTGTTGAAGAACCAGCTGAAGTATGTGGGTGGTGGGCTGGAGTCCACCACACACTGCAGCACCACCGTCTCCATCTTGAGGGCTCCGAACACCTCGCCGTCGTTCACTGTCTTACACATTGGCGCATCTGTCAGGAAAATCGTTATATTTTGAATGGAATTTGATTATGAATCATGCTATCCCAACAATACAGAAGTTTTCATCTTATATTACAAGTTGGTAAAGTTTATTATGTGGATCTAAGTATATTTTGGATGCAATTCTTACATTGATTAGGGGATTTTTATGTACTTTAGTTACAATATTTTTGTTATTATTAGAACCGTATCCGAAGTATGTGTGTGCACTATAGATTCATGCAGTACCTACTGATATTTCTATAATGATATGGTATTATATGACCAAACTTCTATTTGTTACTGCGTTAAAAAAATATTAACTTAAGTATTTAACTCTCAAATTAGAGAGCTCCTTACAATCGTCAAACTCATATAATTTTCATACTAAAACATGAACCTTCCAGAAAGAATAACAGAAACGCGTAATATCCGAATCAATTCTTGTAAGGGTGTGTCCACATCTCACGAATGTGCCGCTCGCGAGCCGTTTGCGAGCTGCGCGCGTGCTGTCATGACAATAGTTTGGTGCTCAACTCATACAAGGGTCGTATAAATAATCATTTTAAATGCACGCGCGCGTCTCGCGAGCTGCGCATTCGCGGAGCATTCGCCAGATGTGGACGCACCCTAAGATAAACATTTGTACTAAAGCACGTGATATTTGTATAACTACGATTTTATTTGTAAGACAGAGATAGAGATATTTGTAGGGTAACAGTGACAGGTGAATAGATGGGACGTAACACGTGCAATACGTGCATACTAAATCTATTGCATTCACGTGGCTTGTAATCTGTTCTTACATTTCTATGGGTCCACGTCTTTATAGTTAAACTTACATCTAAGATTTAACTGTTTTAAAATGCTTGATTGTTTACAAATAACAAATGACTGTATTATCATTTCTGTTATAGATGATAGTTTTAAATTTTTAGTGTTCTATACAAGCGCTAATTTAAGCATCTGTCCTATGAATTTACATTTATCCGTTCAATAAACTATGATCCTAAATGATTTTAAGTCAAAAGCATTTTTTAAGTAAAAATAACTGTAATTTGTAGTCCTTGAGAAATAGAACTAATTTATTATGCCTTCTCTTAAACTACGAAATTACTTACAGCAATTAGTTTAAAATCAGCGCATTGGGGCAATCATAATGTGAGTTACTGCGTCCCTGCCTCAAAGACAAACGACTAGACCTATCTAGATTTAAATTAGGTCCAACGTATAAATCTGCACGGCTGACAATTCTGGACTGATTCACTACTCAATCTGGTCGTAATCCGCTGGGGTTTGAGCAAACTGCCGCAAACAAAGTCTACAAAGACCACATCCATTTCATTTCGAATCTGGATTCCTTCCAGTTTTCTAACAAGTCAAAGCAATAATATACCGTCACGTATGAATCCCTGAGGAGACTCCCATATTTTTGGATGCGTATTCTTATATATTTTACTTATCTTTCTTTATATATTTTTGTTTTATGGTTTTTATTATAAAGTACGTGGGAATAAATAATAAGTTTTGTATTTGTAAATTTGCGAGTTTCGCCGCTAAATGACAACGTTCGGTTACAGTGTTTGAGCCCCGATGTGGTTTGAAACTTTTCCAGCTAGTTTGAAACAACGCGAGTAAACCGTATACAGTGTCTCCCAATAATATTAATTACATTAGCTTTTAGTACTAGCTAGCTACTCACAATTGATCTGCAAAGACACAGGGTTGCTGGTAGCACTGCCTTCGTTATTATACGCCAGGCAGCTATAGTCTCCCGCTGCTGCCCTGGTCACACTCTGCAGCACCAGGCTCTGGTCGCTCAGGATGATGCCAGCGCTCGCATTGTGCTGGATTTCTTTTGTCTATAAAAATAAGTTCGATTAGATAGTGAAAAAAATAATTTTAGAACTGAAGATCGAACTTAGTGTTTGTGTTTTATTTCAGTTTACCCAATGTTAGTACCTACTTAAATATACAATTACTGGACCTCAAAAGCAGATAGTCATATATAATGAGAAATCTAGTTTCATAATCCTTGTAAATTCTAAAAAGAATGGCTTTTGTCATATTGTACTTACCCCCTTATACCAGGTCAGTTTCTTAGTCTTCGGGTTTGCTTTGACGCTGCACTCGAAGTACACACCGTCTCCTTCCTTGATGTAGCTTGGGTTCAAGTTCGAACCCAATTTTAGTGTTACTATCGGGACATCTGTCAACAAAAAAGTTGTGAAAAACACCTGTTCCTTCAAATATTGTTTGTCTTCGTTGCTTTTATTTAGTTGAAAATGCTTATTTTGGTTAATAATTCTCCAATATTTGTAAAGCTCTAAATATATTATGTAATGTAGGTAAGTTCCCACTTTTCTTACTGTGAGGGTCCAAATTATCACCACATATTCAATGGCCAGGTTATTTCAAACAAAACGAGAATTTAAAAATCCAATACAAATTATAATGGTAGCAAAATTGTAATTGTACAATTTCATTTAATGAACAAAAATAATACATAATACAAAAACTCATTTCACAATTATTCGTGATTTCTGATGAAAATAACTGCTAATTAAACGAATTATTATATATTATAGCTAAGCGTTTTGTCGATTTATTTTGTATTCAATAATTCGATAGGAATTCGTGATTACAGAATAACTTGTAAAACTATTTTAATTATTTCATATTGTTTCAAATATTTATTTAAATGTTAATTAGTGTGTATTATCTCAATTAGTGTAACCAATCTTGTTGAATTTATTGAAAAAAAACACATTATTGAAATTAAATTGGGAAAAGAGATTATTTAAAAACATTAGACACGTATTTTAAGCGAATAGTTTCCAAGATATATTGATTTGAAATATCGCATGACGTCACTTTTGTGTACGATTTATACACTAAAATGACGTAGCTACCTCTCACTCCTAAACTTTGATTCGTTTTATCTAAGTATTGTTTTCTAATACGATGAAATTAAAAAATAAGTGTCTAATATTTTTTGATTACCTAACTGACGGACTGATTAGATTTTTAATTTTCATACTCCGTCATCATCCCTATTGGGTATAACCTGTATAAAAACAGAAATAACAATAGGTACTGCGTTATTCATATATTTTAACTCGTCGAGTACCGGTTTTATAGACACAATTAAAGAACAATAGGTCGCGGTCACCGGTGACCGCTTGGTGTTTGACAGTTTAATAGCTATTCTCTTATCATTCTGTTCTACGTACCTACATTACCACTTTTTTTAAGGGGGGAAAATCATCGAATCACTGCTCCCGCCTGGGTGAGGCAGGAGGAAGTGTCAGACCCTTACTGACTAAAAACCACCCCGTTCCTTCTCCTGCACGTCGAGCCGGAGCCCCGATTACCCGTTAGGTTCTCCGCGACAAGTATATTACCATTAGCGCCAATAGTGGGAACACTTTTAATCATTAGGGAAAACGATACTTACATTGCACATTAAGAAACCACCGGTCTTCTATAACAGCGTTGGGCACTCGAGGGTTCTCTGCTCGACAGACCAGGTACTTCTCGTGGTCTTCTGCCATCGGCACCAGGTTCAGGGTGCTGACTGTCGCGTTGTTGTCCGAAAACTGCATGAAATAATTTGATTTGTTATTAAGTTTGTTTGTTGTGATACACATTTTAGTATTAAGTACAATGAGCAAGAATAAACATCGGTATTTTTTTTAAGGGAAGAAAATCATCGAGTGACTGCTGCCGCCTGGGTGAGGCGGGAGGGATTGTCAACTCTTACTGACTAAAAACCACCCCGTTCCTTCTCCTGCACGTCGAGCCGGAGCCCCGGCAACCCGTTAGGTTCAAACATCTGTATAGGATTGAAATCTTGTCTCAAATAAACTGGCCGTTGAACGTGAAGAAATGTCATTCAAGGCAAGATCTTGTTAAACTGGTTTGTTTAGCTTATTGTGGCACCGTGTTCATAATTTCTTCAGAAGTCGACTAGTCAAATAGTATTATGAAAACTATAGATCTTTCTGCCAATATTGCAGACATCCGTCTAGCAAATCCGGGAGAGATTTCCCTTTTCAAATATTAGAACTTTTGCTATACATAAAACAATTAATCGTAATAGAATATAATTATGGTTACACAAACACAAACACACACACATTTTACATAATAATTATATATAAACAAGATCCCAGAAAAATATACTAAATATATTACTGTCATTACTCAGTGTGTACTTTCCTTAGATTATATTATTACTTATATATATATATGTCTATTTATGTCACCGTGTGTGGGCTGTTAAATACAGCCTAATACTGATTGACAGCAGGCGTACGAAGTAACATCGAGCTCAAAGATATACAATTAAGTATCAGAATTAGAAATGAACAAGAAGTAAAAGCAGGTAAATAACATATTACGCTGAAGATGTTTATAAAATTGTGTTTATTAGGATGTAGCAGTAGTAGCTTAGTGCTGAAAATGTCATATCCTACTAATATCGTAAATTCACTAATGTAATGACTGCCTCGTTGGCCTAGTGGTAGCGGCTGCCGAGCAAGGGGCATCGGGTTTGATTCCCGTGTTAGGCAAAGTATCACTAGGTAATAAAAAACTTCTCAGTAGCAGCACGGAGTCTGGAGTTGCGCCCAATAGGCTCACCCTATTACATGGGACTCATAACATAAATAGTGAAAAGTGGGTGTTGCATTGTACAGTGGCATTAAGTGCCGTAATGTGCACCTCTGCATACGCCTTAAAGGATAAAAAGCGTGATGTTATGTTGGTTGAACTATAAAGTAGATACTACAATGTGTAAGTCGCTTCAGTATAAATTCGTTATGGAAACTGTAAACAAAGCCAGCTATTTGAAAAGTTTATTTTTGTAATAGTTTAACTTACTCACAATATTAGTTTTAAAACGTTATACGGAGAGGGTGGACTACATTATAACCGACTAAAGAGACAAGACATTCCCAGACTCGCCCAAAGATTTGTTAACTGAGCCAAAAGGAGGGTTTGCTGGATAGTTCAGCAATTGATTGGCCCTCGAAGAAAACCATTAAAATCACCAGGACATGTAGCTCCAACCAAATAAGTGGCTTATTGTTTTCGAACAGATTGCCATAGTGCAGAAAGGAGAAAAAAAAAAAAAAAAAAAAAACGTTATTCAAGATTGCGGGTATAAAGCTCACTTGCAGTATTTTTTTTTGTGGCATAAGCCGGTAAACTAGCAGACGTATCACCTGATGGTAAGCAATCGGCGTTGCTCATGGACACCTGGAACATCACAGGCGTTACAAGTGCGTTACCAGCCTTTTGGGGAATTAGGAGTTTGAGGATCGTTGGAGATTCAGGAATTGGGGAGATTGGGGAAGGGGGGGGGTAATTGGGCCTCCAGTAACCTCACTCACACGACGAAATACAACGCAAGCGTTGCTTCACGTCGGTCGTACTCTGCTCTGCTGCTTCTGCTCGGCCGTGGTATCACTTCGGTCGAGTCGGCCCATTCGTGCCGAAGCATGGCTTTCCCACACTTAAAACTTTACTTTGATCAATATTGTTTTTATCTACGTCTTCTTTACTGAAGTATGTACTGCTATCCCCGCTACCATACATCTTATTACTATTATATAAAGCTAAATAGTTTATTTGTTTGTTGTCGTGGTGGCCCAGAGGTTTAAGACGCCCGCTTCTCATGCATGACGGTGCAGATTCGAAACCTACCAACAGAAAGTACCAATGTGACTTTTTCCGAGTTATATGTACTTTCTAAGATTATTTAGACACCACTGACAAACGGCGAAAGAAAACATTGTGAGAAAACCTGGGCTTATAATTTGTAATTATAAGTTTGTTATCGCCAACCCGCATTTAGCAAGCGTGGTGATTTATGCTCAAACCTTGTCTGTGTGAGAAGAGGCCTTTGGTCAGCAGTTTATAAGCTGTTGATGATGATGATGATGATGAAGAGTTTGTTTGTTTGTTTGTGTGAACGCGCCATTCTCAGGAAGTACTGGTTTGAATTTTTTTTTGTATTCTGTAGTTCATTTATCAAGGAAGGCTATAGGCTTTAAACATCACGCTACAATCAATAGGCGCTGAGCACAGCAAGCGAAACTGCACAAAAAGAGGTAATCATTACTGCTGAGCAAGGTGGTCTGAAATTGATTCCTGTGTCACACACACACGACACAGGAATACAGTTATACGGCTATGAAAATTCATAATGGCTATTATTATTCTTGGCATCGTAACCTGTAATTTAGGGCTAACAAACGACTTTATTCTATGCTGCTTATACCATCGAGCAATATAAATATTACTGATCAACACCAAAAATATTAAATACTAAATATTCAATGAAATTTTTTGAAATCACAAAACCAATACTGCACCACACCACACCTGCAAGCTAAATAAATATAAATGCTATTAAAAGTAACACAAACATTGCGTACAATCAATCAATCAATCAATCACAACAGTGTCAGAGCATTAGTCATTAGTCAGAAGCCACACAGACTGTACACTGTACACACGACTACATCAAACTATACAAAACCAGTATAAACTGAACTTTGATCGCGGGGAAAGATAATACAAAGCCAGACCATGATATATTGGTTGTATATACATCGTAATATACGAAAAATAAATACACATAATAAAACAAAATGTCTGTCTGTTGATCGAGCGTTGTTTTTAAACATGTCACTGTTGATGTCTTAATTAAATATCGAATTGATATGGCTATACAAAACCAATATGTTTGGTTGTCTATCCGTAAGTGAGATTGATTTGAAAAGTTTTTTCTAGTTGATAGTGTTTTATTATGTTTAATACAATTTATTATTTTACTAGCTTTTGCCAGCTTTCGTGGGATATAAAGAAACCTATGTATTACATACATACACTGATGTCAGCACCAGAGTGTGATTTATTTGCAATGAGATGGATAGATATGTGTCGTGAATGTTTAAGATTTTGTGAGAGGATGGATGATACGTAGCTGATTATAATGTCAAGTTACAATAATTACTCTAATTACCAAATTTGTCATTCAAATGTATAGTCTTTTTTAACTTCACGCCTGTCTCCCATAAGGGTAGGCAAACACTATGGAATGCAAATTGCTACGAACCTACATACCTCTTTCGCTTCATCAACAGTCTTTTCATGCTTGTTCGTCGGGTGAAATTTCATCTATGTAATACACATTACTCGAGGCCATTTTCAAACTCTGCTTCAAATTTCATCCCAATCCCTTCAGCCGTATTGATTTGAACAAGTAACAAACAAACAAACATAGAAACTTTCCCATTTATAATATTAGTAGGATATTTTGTGAATGCTTATGGCTAGTATCTTTGAAATAATTTTGCATTGAGCATGCGTGGTGACTAATGCTCAAACCTTCTCCGTGTGAGAAGAGGATTTTGTTCAGCATTAAGCACTTACAGGCTGTTGATGTTGTTGAAACGTTGTTATAATGGAACTTGTGATCAAAATCTGGTCAGAAAAGGCTAAGCGTTTTATATTTTGAAACTCGAATTATACCTTAATTTTATTCTTACTATCCTGAGAGCAGTAATCAAAGAACTACAAAAATCATATGACCATTATAGCAAAGATAGATTAATAGATTTCTCCAATATTCTAAAGGTCTTACCCCTTTAGAATATTGGATTAACTTTACGACAATGTTCCAATTATTTTAGTTGTATACAATACTTGTAGATATTCAATAACTTATAGTTCAGAATCTAATTATAGACTTCATATATTATTATAACTTAGTACCTAGGTATATAGTCACTACCTAGACAAAAAACTATACAATATTGATTAACTATACAAATTATCGAAATCCCTTGGCAAACTGAATTAGAGTCTAGACAACCATATAAATATTAGTTGTACAAACATTGATTTCATAGTTGGAGTTTTGTTCTTGTTGTTTATAGCTTGCTGCGTAATAGCTATACAAAACCAGTTCATCATTGACTCGCTACATATGATTCTTCAGCACATTCAAAGGTCTATGTTTACTAGTTTTGCATAGCTTGATGTGTTCCCTATACGAGTAGTGAGAATAAAATATTTGCGCATCAAAACTACATTCGTTTTATTGCGACATCAAACAAAGCCATAGTTTCTAGAACAATAGCAATTTGATACGTTTTTGAAAATGATTTTTGACAGTTTTCTATTAAATTTCATTTTTCGTCATTTATTTTTATATACAATTGGAATTAAAGGATCAATGTACTATTGAGTGGATTTCATTGAGTAGAGAGCTTAAAAAACTATGAAAACATGTAGTCAATAGAATTCCTTTTAGTGATTTTTCCTATTGTTATGGTATTTACAATTAATGTTTTCTACTCTGACGTGATTATACAATTGCTAGGGTGTGACGTGCATATAAAGAAAATAATAATACATTTATTAATTAACTAGCTTCTGCCAGCGGCTTCGCCCGTGATCCCAGGGATAAAATGCCTATGTATCACTTCAGACCATAATCTACCTCTGTTCCGAATTTCATTCCGGTCCCTTCAGTCGTTTTAATATGACTGAGTAATAAACATACACATAAACTCACATATTTTCA